GTTTCGTTGATATTGAGTCGACTATAAACTACTCATCTTGCTTGGAACCGTCGTTGTGTATGGGAAAGAGGGGTTCTACCTATGCTTGGAAAAGGGTGAATGGTCCCAAAAGGGACGGGATAAAACCCACTAGAAAGAACGGGGGGTCATCCACTCCGTCGCTGGGTAGTCAACTTTATCCGTGACTCTGAGTACAAGATTTCTGGGATCAAGAAACTAGCAAACAAATATGCTTGGCTGGACTCTTTTCTCGTATGCCCGGAAAATCAAATTGCGGTACAACTCAGCTTGCTGCAAAGCCTTTCTTTCTCGTCCAAACACTCCAGATCTGCACTTCCCTTTTCTCCATAGGGCCGAAGCTTTACTAAGAAGGGCTTTTTTTAGAGAGAGCGTAAGGGGCGATCTATATTGCTTGCCATAACTCTATTCCCGACTCTAAATCCCTAAAGGACTTTAAGAGAGGATGAACATTCCCGTTCTATAGGTGGCACTGCCCCTATTAGAGAAGGGTGAGGGCCTACTGATTCTCTGCTAGCACTGTTAATTACCTTAGACCTACGCAGCAGGAACGATATGGAGCACTTACTCTACCGGTCGTCTGCTCTCTCGAGGTCGTCCTTCTCTAGGTACAAAAAGGACATTACGGGATATCTAAAAAATTTGATGTACTTCTTAAAGTGTGGGACACATCTCATGTTTGCCAAATCGAAAAACTATCGCCTTTGTATCCTCACAGCGGCTATGATCAGATCCCAGTGTTGGTTCACTTTGGACTTTATCCTCCACAAAATCTTATGATCTCCTGTTCTAAATTATGTTAAACAGCTCCTGATCGCAGCAATCATGCCTTCGAAGGTACGCTTTTTTTAGGGGGGCCTTGCCTCTTGAATGAGCTTGTTCAACAATGTGTGCTCCTTCTTCCTATTAAGTCTAAGGAAGGGCGAGTACCCCTTGAAGGACCTTTTGTAAAGGACATCTCCCAAGATCACAAATCGTCGGGCAAGTTCTCCTCCAGGCTCTCCTCTGACCACGAGTGGCGTACTCTGATATGAACCCGTCCTTGAGGTAATTGTAGAAATCATAATACCAAGGTTCCCATTGTCCTCGTAATCTTGACTGGTGATAGTTCATCATGTTCCAACTCTCAATAGTCTTCATCCAAGAAGATGAATGAGTCCCGTTCGACGGAAGGGCTCTCTGTGCTGTGGCTGGGATGTCCAATCTCTTGATGACAAGCGACTCTGTGCTTCGATGTACTAGCATGTGTACTAGAGCGGCTGAGTATTTATTCCATAAGGGCTAGCGAGTCAGCCAAGCGATTGTAGACTCGCACCGCTCACTTAAGGTTTTATACAGAGGGGGTTGTATTGAAGGGCCATAAGCTTTGAATCAATATGCTTTGGTTCCAATCCGGATCTCGTATTTTGGGTCTCGAGATGATATTCAGGAGACAAAAGAGCAGAGCTGATAGAAATGCCTATTATAATGGAGATGCTAATTCTTTAATAAAGACTTGTGCCCATTGTCCAAGATTCCTTTGTGGGACTGTCTTTTTCTTCTTCTTGACTTGACTCAAAAACCTTCCCATTCAGGACAGAACTCTGAGGGTATCTCTGAAGATTTAAAATACAGAAGAGCGACTTCCAATCAAGACAATATTGAAGCACGCGCCTTAGGACCTATCCCAGTTAAATATGAAAACGAATCCGCGCGCTCCAGTAAGATAAGGGTTTCCTTCATCGATCGGAACAAAACTAGCAAAAGAAAGAGGGAGTTGCGCTATACATAATACTAAGGGACCCAGGCTCTACCCGAATGATACGATCAGCAACTTCTAGTACCCAAGCTATGTGATCAATAACTATTCTCCTAGAGGCGAATCCCTCTGGGCGCCCTAAGCAACCGAAGGGTAGAGAAGATGAAGAATAAGGGTAATCTAAGCATGCGCCACCAAAAGGAAAGAGAGGACCGATTGATACCAATAGCAAGATACACATATTTTTTTTTAGACTTCGAGGGGTGAGAATAGTTGAAGATCAGAAGATTGGCCTTAATAGATTAAGTGCAAACTTTTTTTTTATATTATATATTATATATATGAGTAAGCCCCTTCCCTTAGGAACAGAAGGATTCGATTACATCGGCTGGCTATACGCTTTAAACATCGTCTTATATGCTACCTTCAGTCAGGGTTTCCCTTCTCTTCTGCGGCATCAGAATCAGAGGACAGATTTATCGTAACATCCGAATCAGGGGCGACTATTGGCTTTATTCAGACTGTTAGCCCTGAACTTATTCAATTAAGTGTTTGATAATTCATTCATTCATTTAACAAATAAGGGTTTGTGTCTTTTTTAAAATAAGACTTCTTCTTAAGTATAATTAAACTTTTTTCGTATTCTAACACATAAAGAAAAGATATCTCCTCAGAAGACGATTATGCGCATCTAGGAATTAATAGCAAGCACAGAAGCAGGAAAGCTAGCCACCGTGGAGTAGCATGAAATGCGCACCAAATCGTCTCTTTGCAGCAAATCGTCTGTTATTTAATTGATTGCTTGATAGAATAGGCGGTTCTCTTTCTGTTAGCAAGAATCCGCTGTTAGAGAATATGCTTGAACTAATAGACGGATGGGATTGATTGATTCTAAGAGAAGTTTCACCAAGAAGTCTCTATTCTTAAGGAGATGATTATAGAGCAACCCCGCTAGAACTCTAAGGCTTTGCTTTTCTGGCAAACTCTACCACTAAAGAGTAAGCACAACACTAGTGAAAATTCACACTCAAAATTTATTCCAGGAAAAAAACCTCATTCACTTCTAGGACTTGGGTTAGAGAGGGAGAAGTAGAATAAATCAAGTCGAAGTGCAGTTCCTATCTCTTAGCTCAGATTAGAGCACCAGCTGTTATGCCCCGTTACGCCGTGCCTTAACTCCTAGCCCTAAGACGGAGTAGTCTTAGTAGAAGTAGGATTACCAGATTCCCTTGCTTTATGTCTTTATTTCTGACTTTCCTGCTTTCAGTTACGGATTGAACCTATTTTCCCATTTCCTTCCTCCCTTTACTTTGCTCCTTCTCTATGACAGCCTTTTCTTAAGCCTATTCGAATTTGATAGCAACTCCTTCTTTTCCGAGTTGGCCTGCAGCCTCTTGGTAAATAGGGCACTCCCCTTTCTTAGCGCAGGAAATCGAGCACAGCTTTCGCAACAATCCTTTTTCATTTATTGGGAGACTGAAAGAAGGATTTGATTACGGAAAGATGGTTATGGAAAGCTTATCATGACATCGTTTATCGCGGTTCATGTGTGGCTGCTCGCTCTTGCATTTCCTTGTCCAACTGCTATAAGCGGCATTTCTTAGCTTAGCATAACAGCTAGCATCAAACTACCAATCAATAAAGAAAGCACCTTCATGGACTGAGGGAAGCCCCTCTTCTTTTCTTGGAGTTGCGCTTTCAAGAGCGCTATAAAGACTATTCATTCCCATAAGTAACGATCTTAATGGCTTTAAAGCCGCTAGGGATGAATCTAGGACAAATATTCTTGGTCAGCTCTCTCGTCTTTCACTGCTAGGTCAGCTAGCCTAGTTCATAGTTGCAGGTGGGAACGTTAAATATTGCCTTCGATCCGTTGACCCTGGCAACCTCGTCCCTCATTGCTTGTTAGAGAGCTATAACTTCACCGGTGAGATTGCCATCCAGGGGAGATCTATTTGATTGGGAAGTTCTTAGCGGATATCAAAGCTGCAATCCGCAAATCGCATGTGTTAAGTATGGCATTTCACCTATGCTTCGATCACTTCCTATAGATACCGCCTAGCTTGAAAGAGAAAGAGATCACAGGCATGTGGTGAAGCATACCGAGAGAAAGAACAGTTAAATAAACCATATCAAGCACAGGTCTCACTCTACAAGTTCAGTTCGATGAGCTCCTAGCGGTCCTGTGCCTACTATCTACTTAGTGTGTGTGCTAGGGCAAGCTGAGCAGTTCTCACTGTATCCGGTGACCAACAAAGCTTGTGGACTACTACTGGGACGAACTCTTCTACATACTAGTGGGACTATTCACTGACTAACAGATTCGGGGAACGAAGAAGGCCCGATATCTACCTAAATCTACAGTCGTAGAAAATAGCGACTTGATTGTACTATAGGCAAAGCCATCCCATATGCCCTTATTCAGTCATATGATTCACAGTTCAGCCTGTTCAGCCCCAATAAATGCTTTCTTCTTCAGGCTTCAAAGCCTTTTCGTTAGCAATCCCTTCACACCGCCCTCCTCACTCCTCATCAAGCAATGGATGGTAGTAGTGTTGTCAAGTCAAGAGTTCAGACCGTCGAATGAATTGAGGCCTGGTGGGAGGACTTGTGTTACGATGCAGCTGGCACCTTTGAGGTCTCGTTGCAAAGTAGGCAGACACTCTTGCGTGCACTGTACACGGTTGGCGCGGTTGTGATAACTTAATGGAACTTTTGAGTAGAATTCTGAGGTGTGGAAAAGTGGAGTAGTGACTTTGTGGTCCCCGATTGGTACAAGAGTCAGATGGCTAATCTTGTCAGTAAGGGCAAAGTTCGGATTGAGCTTATGGTAACAGGGGTGCAAGAGTGTTACTGTAACACTTGGAACAAAAATATTGGCTGGTCTGTCTATTCAAACCAGTACTCGAGAGAAGGGACTCAAAGCGCTGTTCTCCTAGGGCTGACTCAACTATAATTTTATGGAAGGAAGTACTCGATCACTTATAGCTGGATTTGATCCATCAATGGAAGCTCGATTGTATCGCAGGTTGGTATGTGTCGCTTTATCCTTCCTTCCAAAGGAACATTGAACGAAGGGCTCATCTATAGAAAGCAAGCTATAGCTATGGGAATAAGTCATGTCCTAAGCCTAAGGTTTTGGGCACCGTAGTCTCATCTATATCGATGGCATTCAAAAGGGGATTTCATTCTTTGCCACATCTTGATTCTCTTAAAAAATTCCCTATTCAGGGTTTCCTGCTCCTTAGTGAACCGGATCAACCACGACGGCAGGGTCTACTTCTACTGGTCTTGGATTCTCCATGCATACATAATCATCAACAACTAAAAAGAAGGCTTATACTTTTATCTCCTCTGAATCTGCAATGCTGTAATCTGCATCTCCCTTAGTCTTTTCACTTCCACCTAACCTAGAACCTAGGATAGTTAGAGGTTTAGGATCAAGCCCAGCCTCAGCTATGGTCTCCCCGCAACAGTTCTCGATGAGCCGCAACCTCAGCATCAAAGAGGTTCTCACTCCCTTCCAACAAAGAAAGTTCAGCTTGATCAGAAACAGACCCAACAAGATCACCTTGGGACTGACCAGACCGAAACGGGTCAGAAGTGGAAACTCTTTACTCGCTGGAAAGAGCGAGTAGTAACAACAGGAGCTTGGAAAAAATCCTCGATGGAAACATATGGGGATAAAGCAGTAGCGTAATACCACCTGACGTACTTGAGCCAGGCTTCAGTCCAAGATCTGAGAAGTGTCATATCCTCTAAGTACTAAAAAGTCTCAGACTTATAAGTACTCGTTGGAGGCACCACAAGATCCTTAGGTCTGAAAGCTTGTTGAAGCTTTCAGATCAATCGACCTTTTAAATAAGGGTCGACAGGACAACACTGGCCAAGCCATAACTCGAAAGGTCGCTTAGCCTTTAACCAAATCTCCTTCAGCCGTAAGACTGTAGACGACTTAGTGTGGTTAAGTTTACCAAGAAGCCTATAACCAATACCATACAATCGACATAGAGTGGAAAACCTCTGTATCTTATAGAGATGACAAAGGGAATACAGTCCATGCATGTATTGTATGGGAATTAGCCAGGTTTCGAAGAGAGGGGATAAATCCACTGTTAAATTCTTACACCTAAACTTCTTAGCAAACTCAACGCCACCCACATCTGAGACTAAAGACTTAGGAAGTTATATAGTCCCACCTAAATCCTTAAGTGTAGATAGGTAGACTTCTGCGACCTTTGAGTCGGGGATACAAATATCGTCGCCAAGGATAGCATACTTATCAAAGCGCTTCCCCGGATATATCTTCTCCGCACACCACCAAATGGTGGGATAGTGTAAAGAGCGGCCAAGAAGCGAGATATCCAAGAGGTTGCCCTGATCCTTGGGCTGATAGTCAAGTAATTTTCTCTTGAATGACAGGTCTACTCTCGGATACAAAGGTTTTATGTTCAAGCAATTGGGCCAACTTTCATTGGATCCTTCCGAAGTAGGCGAAGGTCGAGTTGCTGACCTGAACGCTTTGGCTCTTTTTGGTAAGTCTTCTTGGAGTAAGAACCTTTATTTTTGAGCCGGCACGGAGACCTATGGTCTCCATTCCGCCTTATCTTTTCTCTCTGTCGGTGTGAAGTTGCTAGCATAATATGGTAAGCAGCGGGCTTTCTATCCTCAGAGGTTCCGGTCACGCTAGTCTAGAACATCTTCCGACCGTTGGCTGCTTGCTCTCTGGACTCCTGGAGCTACTTCCTTTGAGTTGCATCGAAGAGAGTCTCTTATAAGCAAGTTCTTGTCAAAGGGAATCATTATTCGTAAGTTCCCGTGTGTAAAATTTGCCTATTCAAATAAAAAGGGAGAAAACCTATTGCTCTATCTTGCGTCCCTCCATCCCGGATCTCTAGGAACAGGGCTGACAGCAACACCATTAATCGAACGAGTCGGGATGATAATCTCACATGGTGTCGTTCTAACTCGTTACGCACGCAATTGACGTAGCAGACCTCTTGCATGATTGTTTCAATCAATGATGTATTCAATCAAGACAAGAAAGATACGTCGTAATAAGATCAGGTTACATAAAGGGTCTGTGAGGGAACATCAAGAAAGAGGATCAGACCAAGTGCGAGATTGGATCAAAAATAACGTATTAAAGGATTATGGTCTTTCTAGTACAGTACGATCGATCAAGTCATTCAGTAAAGTATCTTCGCGTTGTGTTTATGGAATTCTATTAGAGCGGGTAGTTTATATTGCTCCCGATAAATTCTTCCCTTTTTCGTTTGTGCATCTTTCTCCCTTGCATTTTTGGATCAACCAACCGGCTATTTCCTTTTCGACAAGTCTTTTCTCATTGCTTAAAGTAAAGCAGAATTTTAACTTAACTCGCCATGAACTTGTACTTACAGTTAGACTTATACTTATACAATGACAACTTATACTTATACTTATACTTAGAGTCGGGGGTGGTTCCTATACCCAGCCCTCTTGAACAATTTGAGATAATCCCTTTTCTTCCTATGAAGATAGGTGACTTGTATTTCTCATTCACAAATCCCTCTTTGTTTATGCTGCTCACTCTCAGTTTGGTCTTACTGCTGGTTCATTTTGTTACTAAAAAGGGAGGAGGAAAGTCAGTACCCAATGCTTGGCAATCCTTGGTAGAGCTTATTTATGATTTCGTTCCGAACCTGGTAAACGAACAAATAGGTGGTCTTTCCGGAAATGTGAAACAACAGTTTTTCCCTTGCATCTTTGTCACTTTTACTTTTTTGTTATTTTGTAATCTTCGGGGTATGATACCTTATAGATTCACAGTTACAAGTCATTTTCTCATTACTTTGGGTCTCTCATTTTCTATTTTTATTGGCATTACTATAGTGGGATTTCAAAGAAATGGGCTTCATTTTTTAAGCTTCTTATTACCCGCAGGAGTCCCACTGCCGTTAGCGCCTTTTTTAGTACTCCTTGAGCTAATCTCTTATTGTTTTCGCGCATTAAGCTTAGGAATACGTTTATTTGCTAATATGATGGCCGGTCATAGTTTAGTAAAGATTTTAAGTGGGTTCGCTTGGACTATGCTATGTATGAATAATCTTTTATATTTCATAGGAGATCTTGGTCCTTTATTTATAGTTCTTGCATTAACCGGTCCGGAATTAGGTGTAGCTATATCACAAGCTCATGTTTCTACGATCTCAATATATATTTACTTGAATGATGCTACAAATATCCATCAAACTTGCTTATTATTTATTTATAATTGAACAAAAGCGGGGATAGAAGTTTCTCGAGCTAGGGTAAGTTCAACCAATCGCTCCGGGTTCTTTCACTCACAGAAGACCAAGCCTTGCTACTTGAATAACAGGTAATCAGACTTTATCCTTTCCGTAGTCCCATAATTTTCATTCAGGGGATGACCCTGAGGAAGAAGCCGAAGGCATACCCAGAGAAAGGAAGCATGCTATAATTAGGGTATCACCTATCGATGGGAATCCAGCCAACCCCTCTCCTTTTATCATGTTGAGCTACTTCATACCTTGTTCTATCAACAACACGCTACTTCGTTCCTCTCCTTATCAGTCGAGTATCTCCGCTCCTGACTCTAACAAGTATGCTTCTAAACTCCAAGCTCTAAAGAACCTGCAATTAAACATACTTGTCCCTTATTCTATCAAACAAGCTTAAATCCCTCTCCTTATAGAAATGCAACTACGTTCCTTTAGCGGTTAAGTAGGATTTATTCATAATAGAAGGGATAGGTTTGAGTCCTGGTTCAAGGTGTGAAGAGAGAGGATGTCCCAAAAGGACAGGTACAAGACGAAGTGGCAGAAAGATAGAAGTATTGCACCCTTCAATGCCTTTTCATGTTTATTGGGTAGAAGAAGTAAGATAGAAGGACTAGTCCCTTAGGGAATGATATTATCTGGCTTTAGACTCCTTTCAACGACACAAGGGACATCTGGACGCTAACTTTATTGCGAGCAAAAATAAAGATTCTATTTTCCCTCTTTTCTACAGGGGAATGACTGTCACAAGTTAAATGAAAGGAATTCTGCTTTAACTTCGCAATCTGGTAACTACATTCATAAGCAGTTGAAGTTACTATAGCAGGAATTAATTTTAAAAATTAAAATAGGCTCCTCCCCGAATATGCCTTAGGAAAGTCAAAGGAGGGGTTCAAAGTGAAGAATTGGGGCACTACTATATTCCCCCTCTTCTTACTGAGGAAGAACATATTTTAGGAAGCTGACTCTCGTTCTTTATCTACGGGAATATGAAAAGTAGACTTGTCGCGCTTCGAAGAAAGGTAGTTCCCTGGGGTCTGTCTATCTTACTATATATACGATGCACCTAGGTTTTCAGACGTTCAGACTGAAGTCTGATAAGGCAAGAAGCAATTTCTCTAAAAGTGATAACCTTTTTGTTGTCCCACCAGATTTATAGTGGAAATATTGGAGGCGACATGGGGTTCATTGAGGATTTTGAGTAAGGCATTCCTGTTAGCTTCTGATGCTATCAGGAGACCTAAGATAGACTGGCATCTTATTGAGTTGTTAAACCACACTGAATTCACTGTTCTTGATGATCCTCAAGAATTTTGTTCTGTATTTCTTCCTCTACTGCTTGACAGGTTAAATATCTCCCATTTTTTCCTTTCTTTTCTTCCTTCTTAGTTCCAACTCTTCTGGAGTATAACATCTTCCAGAACGAGTCATTCCTCCAATTTCTGCCACCTACCTCGGGCTCTTTTCCCCTTGTTCGGTAGTAGCCTCGATGCACTAATTCCAAGGCACAGCATGATTTCCCGTGTTAGGTTCCAGGAGGCTGATAGTGATGGGTCCCTTCGAGGGTGGATAGGTGATAACCATCGGTTTTGGGATGGGTCTGAGTGTCAAGATTTTCGGAACCTTTGGTGCGAAAAATGATGTGCTTGGAATGGTGATAACAAGGGGCTGCGGTTGTGATGGAACTGGTACTAGGTAGGTGGATCGAGGGGCTTGGTAGGACGTAGGCCTATTTTGTGCATTCTGAACGATCTGGGATATAACATTGTGCAGATCAGGGCTATTCCTGTGTTGAGGCCGGATCGGAGGTTATATCATGTTAATCTCTGTGCAATCCGCGTCTTTCACCTTAGGCCAAACGAGACTATCTTTGAGTGAAATGGGTGGTTGTATCTGGGACGTCTTTCTCTTCTTGCATAGACTACTACTCTCTGATTCATCCTGCAATGAAGGGCATGGATTCTTCAAAGCGTAATACGCATTCCTCCCTCGCATCAGAGTAGAATAGATGCCCCTCACTAGCAGCAGTTTATCTCACATATCCCTACCCGAACCTGGCATCAGGAGCCAAGCCGTATCAACAATCAACAGCAGACCTTAGATCTCAGAGAAGAGGATCCCCGGCAATAACTCTCCTTTGACACATAGGCGCTATCAGCCCTTCTCTTATGCCGGGTCTGGGGGAGGAGTAATTGTTTCTGCCTGGAGCGAGCCAGGTCTGGGATCTTTCCCATAGCCTTCTTTCTTTATTATTTCTGTGAACCTGAGCGAATTCTTTTCTCTATTGTACCTAAATCTTCAATGTTTCAAAAAGTAATCTTTCTGAGTGCGCTTGACCGCCTTACTTTACTCGCGGTACACTGACTATATTCCGCAGAGGTTGGCAAGAGCTTATTTCACAGCAAGACTGAATGGAATTAGCCTCTTAGAACTGAACTACCTTGATCTAAATCTCTGGAACTCACAGAAGACCAAGGCACATCCACTCTAAATTCAGCATAAGCTTGGGATCTTTCTTTCCTCAAAGCTAAAGCCCTTGAAGCCTGGTCTTTCTTCTTTAAAGCCTGGAGCTGGTGTATTACTTTATTATATCGTCAGTAAGGAAGTTGAGATTGTCAGTTTCATTTCGTGAACCAGCTACCCTTTCTCTTCTTCTTCCGTAACTTCTTCTTAGTCTACCTACTCTAGAACCGGGGGGATACTCCGTGGCTTTATAGTCTTTGCATCCACTTGGTCACTCGAGTCTTGGCTTGGCCACACTTTAATAAGTTCCCATCTCCTTTTTTAATTAAAAAGCTACTGGACTTGGCTTCTTTCCTGCACATAGTGTCATATATTGAATCACATCTGCAGCGCTTACTGATTCAATCACAGAAGAAAAGATCACAGTTGATACGCATTCAATTGCTAACATCACACCGTTTACTGATTAACATCCGACTACAGCTTGTATGAGTTCTTACGGTTGGTTGGGAAGAGTCTCAACTTAAAGGTACTACATACTTGATTAGAGAAGGAATTTCTTACTTAATGCCATGCTTTACAGACATTCTGACCAAAGCCCCGGATTAGTAACATAGGATTTTGGCTTTTCCGTCTGAATCCCATTCTATGAGGGCCGCCTCACTAGCCTTCCTATAAGGCCTTTAGAGAGGATTCAAACTCTTCGTCTGTGACTCACTGGCATTTCTTCCAGAATGAAGAGAGAGTAGAGATATTGAAGCAGAAAGCCTATTAGGCTCGGTACGTTATAAACATCCAGTTGCCATATCTTCAAACCTATTATCGTAGGTCGATTGTCAGTAACCCTTGCTCTTTTTCGTGAAGAGTAAGTATCTAATCCTTCTGCTCTGGAATTTGATTGAGGACTTCTATTCACTTTGATAGATGGCGTTGGAAGGAGTGGTGTCCAGGATTAATCCCAGTACCACCACACCTCTCCTTGCCCGTGGTTGGTTTAGGCCACGAGCAAAGACCAAGAAGTCTTGACCAGTAAAGCCTCCAGAGACCCGGGTCCCACCTAAACTAAAAATTGAAGTAAGAGCTTTTGGTGGTTTGATCTCACCTTTATGATACTTCATATTGAGATCAAACAAAGGCCACAATATCCCAAACCTTATCAGCTCTTGATTTTAATCCTTTGCTTTCCAAGATGTTAGGACAATTGGGCCTTCAAACCATGATTCAATGGAGGTATCCGGAGAAGAGGACTGGACTGCGTACCCGGCCAAATACTTAAGCCAGGCACGGAAGAGCTAGTTGGGCGAAGGGATTCCCGAGTCAAACGACTACCATACATAGCATAGAGCTGGAAGCTGCACTAGTGGACAGAGAAGACTGGACGTGAACACGAAACTGTACAGGAATAAGAATCGCCCGCCCCGCTTTCACTCTTTGAAAGAGTATAGCCCTGTAACCCCTAAAAAGAAAGAGGAAGAGAGTGTAATGCCATAAAATTTTAGATATCCTTTATAATTCTGATTACTCTAAAGAAGCGCGAGCGCTAGGCTTTTCGTGATAAAAAAACTATCCTAAACTCTCTTCTTCCGGGGATTCGGGTTAGTTGTTGACTTACAAAGAAAGGCAGATCGATTAAGATCTTCATCTTTATAAGGCATTCTAACTCTAACGATTAACGATCATAATCCTTTTATCAGGGTGCTCTTCACATTCATTCATCAGCCTGCTTCAAAATCCCTTTGTGTGCACCTTTCTACTAGTCTCACTTGAAATGAAGTTCTTCCCATTCCCCTGGGGTAAATTCCTTGGAAAAGACGCTTGAGAAGCCAGCCTTCTTGCCCAGGTCTTGGGCTAGGCTAGGAGATTGGAAGCCTCAATTCAAGTCGAGCAGCAGCTTTTCTACACTCAAAGGGAACCCGACATCCCATTAACTGAGACTTCCTATGCATAGTTGTAGCCTTTCGTCATACCCAAAGGCTACTTAGTGCCTCCACCAACTAGGAAGCTAGAGTATGAGTCAAAAAGCCCACATACACCTCCCTATATAGAGAATATCAGTCTTTAATAGGGCTACAAGGGAGAGTGTGGTCAAGGGGCTGTGGGCGAGCTTGGCCTTCGTCGGGAATAGATTGTGCCCATGATTGGGAAAGCTGATGAGTTCGCTAGATCAAAAAATTACATTAGAAAAGTCAAAAGTCTCATGAGTCGCTGCGGGCTTATTATGAATTCCATTGTTAACATGAATCGGCCATTGTCTTTTCGGGTTCCCCCACCCAGGTGGGAAATTACTTACTTAGACTATAGCGACCCTAATAAGACATACCCACTTATCCTTAAACGAAAAAGAGGAGCACACCAACTCTATGAAGAATTCCTGGCCTTGTTACAACAATACGCTTAAAATACCTGATTAATGATGAATTGGGGCAAAGACTAAACCAAACGAGCTCTTTGCGCCCTACGATTGCAACTGTTATGCTTGTTGGGTGGTCCTACTCTTTGAGGAGTATGGGTCGATTTCGCTTGTTTCAAAGTGCACAGACTAGACAAACTAACGGCACTCAAGCTTTAACCTACCTCATCCACCGCCCTGACGAAATTAAGTAATTCCATATCAAGTTCGGATCCATGGAACTACCAAGGAAGAATTGGGCTTGACTGCGCCAATAGCCATCCTCCACTAGATACATCATTCAGAAATCGGGCAGTAGATCGGTGCGCGCAAACATATCTTCTCGGACAGAGGGACCGGAAAGACTTCTACAGGCTTTCTTTTGCCCTTCTTTACCGCTTGGAACTAGATGTAATCGAACTTACACTTTCTGAAGGCAACCCAAAGAATAGACTGGTAGGACCCTATTCGCGCGCCTATGGACCAATGTAACCCAACCAGTAACTAGTGCCCCCAATGGACCTCTCCTATGTAACTCCAACTGAAAAGGGGGACAGAATATAAATTTTAGATTATGGGCTTGATTGATCATACTTGATGACTGATTGATGGATACCTTTGTTATATAGTTCCGATGAACCCCATGGATGTCATCTATAGGGGCTACCTGAAACTATTCTCCGATCGGTACCTATACCCACTATTCATGAACATAGTCGATGTTAAGGTTACTATAGATGGAAATGCTTCCACCTCAGCCCTTCTTTTTTTCTTAGTAAAGCGCGTAGAAACCCTCTAACCTAGGTCTCCTGCACTCTTATTTGGTTTAGAATTGGGACAAGCCAAAACCTTCATTATTAGTAAGATAGGTTGCTTTCTTGTCTTTAGGAGTGAATTGCGTAGGCTGAGGGGCTACTAGCGGGATTCTTTGGATAGAAGAAGATCTTGGTAAGGTTTAGCAGGGGCTTGCCAGGTATTGACTGACCCTTGAAGTTGAGGTAGAGGCTGTAGGTATTGCTGAGACTGACCTAGCGGAAAGGGATCTTTTTCTGGTCTCACCTGAGAATGCTGTAGCGGCACTGGTTGAACCTGCTCTCGCGCCTGAGGCTCTTTGAAGTTGTTGCGGTTGAAGCTGAGTCTGCTGGACTTATTGCTGCTGAAACTGCGAATTCGCCTCTAGACCTGTCTGAGTGGAGGCCGTAGTCTGGTAGTGCTGAACTCTTGATGGTCTCTCTTTTATGAAAGGGATTGCTTTGTGACATGGGTTTACTCTTATTCTCAGAATTTCTTTGAGATTGTGGGCTAGTCTGAATCCTAGATGCAAGCTTCTTAGGTTGAGAAAGGGTGCTAGTCTCTTGTGCTTTCATGTTAACATTCATCAGTGAAGGATCAAAGATGTCATACATGGGGGACTGCATCTCTCCTGAGTGCAGACCTTTACGTAGACGACTGTGTCAAAGTAGTAAGAAAGGCAACAATAACGAGAGATGTCTCTCTCTCCCGGGCGCGTATTGCTCGTGCGTCTGGGTGATCCTCAGGTGGAGCCCAGGTGTCAGTGTCAAATGTGTGGCAGAAGCTAAATAGAAAAAAGAAAGGAATTTTGGCGCAAAAGGAAAGAAAGAGGGGGCGATCTCGATAAGCTAAGCAATTGACTCTTTGTTTGCGATTCTTTCAAGGAAGGATCAAATCCAATATCGGTAGCGGAAGAATTAGACTTGTGTAAGCCTGAGGCCTGGACCAGAAAGTCTAAAATTAAGTATAGGCCGGGGGCAGCAGCAGAAGATTGGACTGGAACCCGAGAAGGACAAAAACTAGATATCTTTTGTGGAAGTTACTTACGATCGGGCTTCACTAATCTATAGCACCTGAACTACTGAGCTTGCTTGGGTGAGTGGTGGGATGATAAATGGACCGGTCGACCCTCTCAAAATTTTCCTGTGAATCAAGCCCTTCTTTAAAGAGCCATTTCGGTAGGTTTTAAATTGAGTCATTAGAGGAAAGGAATAGCAGACCGCGGAAAGCAAGCTACTCTCTCTAAACTAAATGGAAAAAGAGCTTATCTTATAGCAGCTCTCTCAGGGAAGCTTCCTTCGGGATTAACCAATAGGGTAGAGGTGAATCAGCTTTATTTCCTTAGGAGGACATTTTTCTTGATTTTTATTGAGGTTGCCTTTGCACAACCGGCACAGGGTATTCATAGCTGCTGGTCTCGACCGGTTCACTAGAATGGTTGGAGCAACAGGAGCTCCTACTCTCCCTAGAAGCTGATGTTGGTTGTTGGCTAGGCTAAACTTGAACCACCGGGCTTACCCATTTTTAGATCATGCCTCCGTAGTTTTTGGTATTGAAGCCTTCCATTTCTCTGCGACTTCTGGAACGGATGGGACTTTTCCCTCTCCAACTGGACTATAATAAAGGAGGGTCGGCCCGGCCTGTGATCATAGTCTGATAGCTATTCCTGCCCCAACTTAACCAATGGGGTCCGGTAGTCAGGGGTAAGAATGAACAGAAGGCGACTAACCAATCTCTCTTTGAAACTAGATGCCCGAAGATGATTTATTCGTAGGGCTAGGAGATCGGTGAAGAGGGCCGGACAACCAAGCTAAAAGTTCTTCCATTACGGCTACTCCGAAATTTTGCACTACCACCTTATCCATCCATTACTGGAGACGAAAGCAGCTATCCCTAATGCCTTGCCCCTCTCCCTCCAGTCGGGACCTAAACCCGGGGAGTGAGAAGAGAAGGAAGGGAAGAATCGGCTAGGAAAAAATAAGATTTAATCGTGTTAATGCTAAAAACTCAAATACCGGGTATTCTCTGACATTTTTAATATCTTATACTTGGTTCGAATCCAATTCCTGGTAAGGAAGGCAAAGATTCTAAAGAAATTCCTGGATGATGAACAAGAAGCACTGCAGCAGCAATAGCAAGTCACTTTGGAACGACCCGGCATCGAGGTCTCTATTCCCCAACCACACCACCTGGGGAAACCAAGCGAAAGAAGACAAGATCTAATCTCCAAGCACTGTCTTATGCTCGTCTCGGTGAATGGACACAAAAGAGATATTTAATATTTTTATGATAAAGCATTCTGAATCGGCATGAGCAAAAGCCCCTGTAAAAGCTTCAACAGGAAAAGCAGTTCAGCAAGACAATGGAAGCAAAATAAAATAAAAAAAGAATTGGCGGAGAACGGAAGGAATTTACGAACGGTACGACCGGGGAAGCCTGCCTAGCAAAGCCAAGACTACCTAAAGCTAAGACTCCTTTTCGGGTGCTTCCGGTCTGGATTGATGCCTTTCCTTCTTTCCAGGATTAAGGATCTCCCAAAAGAATGAATGAATGACCTCACCTCAGGAACAGTTAATGGGAAATCCCGCCATGCCATCGAGGGGCTAGTGTGACCATCCATAGCATACGACGGGCGAGAGGGGTACGTGGTGGCTCAGTGTGTCTACCAGTTTATGGTGAGGCTATTCGGAGATCCATGGCGAGTCCCGATTCCATATATACGGTTAAGCAAGCCCAGCCGCCAGCTTCAACCCAGACGACAAAAAACGTGAGCGCCTGGCGCGAAAGGTTGCTTTGCTTTACTAAAAAAAGGAATATAAGGCTCGTTAGCGCTTTAGTTTTCCAATAAGGGGCGGAGCGAGCCTAGAATAGCAGCCTATTACGTTACGTTTTCAGGCCCCTTTACTTTTTACTTTTAATTTTAAAAATAAAGCGCTAGTGCCCCTAATCCTATAGAGTCAGGCTCTTCTGCTATCAATGAAACCGAAATAAACACAAAAACCCAGTGCGTTTTGTATAGATCGAGAGTTGTAGCTGGATTCTTTACTCATGACATACTCGGAAGAATTGCAGGAAATCATTCGATAAGACTTCTCACTACTATTTTAAAATGATATCCGACGATCAAGACAATTCCCGCGAACTCTTTAATTTCATATCAGTTTCTTCTTCTTCTTACAAAGAAAATAGCATTTCCTATTGATTTGTCCCCTATCCTATAGAGCTGGACCTATTATGATTCTTTCTGAATTATCCGTCGCTTATGCTGTTCCCAAGGACTAGCAAAATCGAAATAGCGAAACTCTTGGGTCATCTCAATGGGTTCAGAAACCACACGTTTCTCTGGATCATCATAGCGTACTTCTACATATCCACTCAGAGGAAGGTCTTTTCGTAATGGATGACCCTCGAAACCATAATCTGTTGATATACGGCGTAGATCTGGATGATTGATGGAAGAAACACCAAACATATCCCAAACTTCTCGCTCCCACCGGCTGGCTGGTGGAAATAGACTGACTACCAGAGATATTCGTGTTACTTCGTCTGCCCTAGTTTGTATAAGAATGCGTGAGTTATACCGAGTACTCAGTAAATTATAGACCACTTCAAATCTTCATTTTCGAGAGGGATAATCAACTCCGTAAATATCGATCGAAACTTGAACCCTTGTATAGGTATGCAATTTAAGAAAGCACAAAAATTGAAATAGGTAGTCCGTTTTGGTACCATATCTATTCCCATGTTCCGATCTTTCAAAATAGTCAACCCATTTTTCGGGTAAAGAATACAAACAATATCTTAATAAGAATTGGCTATCCATATAAAGATAACGAATGCTTTCTCCTCGTTCATATTCTTTTCTTACTCTAAAAAACTCGCGCCAGCTTGGCATGATTATATATTCACAGTAAAAGTTATCCGCTTTGCTTTCTTTTAGCAAAGACTTGTTGTAATGTAAATCGCTGGTTGGGTTTACCAACCAAGAAAGACATGGGATTTGGTGGGCAAAAAACTAGCTTTCTTCTCTCTCTTATGATATTTCTATTGCTTCAACGGTTACTTCTCTTCTCTATATGCAATTACTTGGCGTCACTGAACTCAACTAAGCTTGCATCTTACTTGAAGGTTTTATAGAACCTAAGACTCTTAGATAGATAGTTTCAAACCAAATGTGCAATTCCCCCCCCCCCCCCCCCCCGACAATTCGAGTGGGGAACTAAACCAGCAGCGCTACGAACACTTTCAACAGAACGAGACCTGCCCCTATCCTCTATAGTAAATTTATAAAAAATATAGAGTTAGCCGGACTTCCCTTTCCTGGGGATTGGTCTCCCTCTCTTAGTAGGAGGTTGACTATGTCCACAACAATTTGTGTAATATAAATTCAAGGCTCGTCGAGACCTCGACGTTTTGGATTTATTCCTAGGTGCAGGCTTGTCCTTCTTCTTATTGTAGTTGATTGTATAAGGCTTCCCCGCTTCGCTTCTTCTTTGTTCATTCGTAAATCGCGTCTTTTTAAGCCAGGTCAAAACGATTCGATTGTTATCTGAGTCTACGGAGATAAATCGCTCTTTAAGCGAAAATCCCCGGTTTTCTAAAACCTTATCATGATGATCTCACTCCACGGAGGGAAAAGGTTTTTTAATTCATTCAAAAGACGGGCTTTCCTAGCTCATATAGTGGAAAGCGCACTTCCCACATCGATCCCTAGAGGTGGAAGAATGATGAAACCTGCCAAGTAATATAGTAGTCATGCCCTTCCTAATCCTCTATCGAAGGAAACCCCTCTGAGGGTGAAAGAGGTGGCTAACTTTCCTTGCCCCAGGGAGCTTCTTTGTTTATGTAACTAAGCGGGCAGGTCTCTGGAGTGTGCTTCTATCGCCCGAGCAAGAGAAGGGCTGCAGATGAGCTATCAAGTCGTGCATTTCTCCCGAAAGTGAGGAGAATGCCTCGGATATCCTCATAGGTGTCGGGTTTACCAGGCTAAGGTAACTAGAAAATTGTAGTTAGCGGGTTTCCCTCCTTCCATAGCATCTTGATTTCCTGGGTAACTATTCGACAGACGAAACCCCTCGGTTTTATTCTTATCTTAAAGTAGATTTCCTTTCGGGTTTGACCAAGATTCTTCCCTAGGGTGCTAGTTTGTTTATGTCACTAAGCGTGATAGCTTAACCGCGCTTCTAGTGTGAATCGGTAGATTTCCAGTGCGGGAGTTCGAGGTAGTCTTTCTTTGATTCTGGTTTCTGATCTAATCATGTGATTCTTTCAATCAGCATGCTCTTCTCTTATGTATTCTTTTAGGCGAAGAAGCGGTTTATCCGAGAGTGGGGTTACTTACCAGAGAGTTTGGCTTGGTCTTGCTTTCTTCTTTGTTGAGCAGTTATCTAATTCGTCCTCATTGCCAATTTTACTCCTGCTTCAGACCTATTTAAAGTCTCTGTAATGTCTGAGCGTTAGCAATCCTCTAATTGTGGTCTTAGAGCTCTCTAGAGCCCTTAAGATTAAATGGTTTTGCAATCATGCTCCTCTATCCATTCTCGACTTAATCCTCTCTAGCTTTGGTTCGTATTGGGAGTGTTCTCCTTTTGGCGGGGGCTTGCCTCCCATCTGGTACTTATGTGGTAGGTGGGTTATTGAAGGTGGATAGGTTTTTGTAAGAATAAGTTTAAGGATAAAGATCGGTAGAAAGATCAAGATCGGGAAGAGCTTCTCTTCGAAGGTGCCGCTGAGGAGCTCTGTTCGGGTACCCCCCCCCCCCCCCCCCCTCCGGCTCGTAGTTGAGAAGAGCTTTAGTTTAGGAAAGGGCTAAAGGGGTGCGATCCCTCTCATTGAGATTCAAGGGTCTCCAGGAGTAGAAGGCACATCCTGGATCTATTAAGTCGGCAAGGGTTCAACATTGGCTTTCACGACCGCAAAGGGGCCATCTCTCAGTCGGAGTAGATAGAAAGGATCTTCTGATCAATCCAGAGATAATTTCGATTCCATTAGTAATGAGGATTCGGAATATCACACATTGATCAATCAAAGAGAGATTCAACAAAACAACTAAAAGAGAGATCGATTCTTTGGGATCCTTCCGGGAACAAACAGAGATAGAATCAGACCGATTCCAGAAATGCCTTAAAGGATATTCCTTTATGTCCCACCTTTAGTAAGCATCTTGTTGCTTCTTTTTTACCCGCCCCACGCTTAAGAGTGCTTGTAATGATTAACCTCTATCATCGACTTCCGACTCTGTAGGCTTGTAAGCCTCCTCTGTCCCAACTTTCTTCTTATAACTAAGAAAGCATAGGCAAATATCTTATTATAATAGAATTCCTTCAAAGATGCTTTTCTCCTCTAGCCACAGACATGCTTGACTACCACTACCTTCACTATCAAGCCAAGAAGGGTAATTAGTAACACAGGCTCGGTGGCAGAAGATAAGGCCAACTCAGTATTTTAGTAAATAAGCACCTCTACTAATGCGGGTGGGGTTCCAGAAGTGGACCTCGATCCAACCGAAAAACTCTTGTGTGAAAAATAAACTCTCTTTTGAAAAGTTCTGTTAGGTTCTTAGTAGCAATAGGTGACCTTATACCAATCCCGATCCATTAGATTTGTTCGGAAAATAAACGATAGACAAGAAAACATCTCGGAAATCTGGGGGTCAGTTTTGTGGATATTCTTCGCGCAATGCGCGAAGTTCCCGGAAAAAGGGATATTTTGTCCCCTCTCTATCCAACTGGGTGAGTCGGTTTGTAAGAGTCTCTGGCCGATATTCCCACTTTTTTTTTGTTAAAATGGAGTCTCCCAGACCAGAAGGCTGGTTCGGTTTTCAACCCATAAAGGGTCTGGGTCCAGCTCGGCCATCCGAGATATAACCTTACTTTTGAGGTTAATCAAAGTTATAATCTCATCTATGGGGGGCTGCCTCCCCCTCTTTTTAGAGGCAACAAAGAGAAGTCTTGTATTGATCTTCTCAAAGACTTCCCCTAGTGGCCCTTCTGGAACTTGCCCAGGCTGCGCAGCCTCTGGTTTAGGTGCGGGCTCTCCTCCGGGCTGTTCAAAGTCCCTAAAGATAGACTCCCCGCTTATGCCCGGGGAATTTCTTTCGAGCGCACCAGGAAGCCGCTGCCCGACTCCCTGAGAAGGCTGCGAATTTATTTCTTCCCCAGGTTTGGAGGTATTTTGAAACCAGCCAAAGAGACCCTCAAAAAAAGAATCAGAAGGATTGTCACCCCCCCCCCCCCGGCCCCACTAGCATCCATCATCATCGATGTAGAGGGGAGGTCTGTAGGCCTGACACCTATAGAAATAGACAACCACTCCAACAAAAGATTGAAGGCCGTAACTTCCAACGCACAAAATAGGAACCCTAGAGAGAGGAACACTGAAGCCAAGGCCAGCCAAAGCCCAAAGGAAGACCCACTTGAGTATAGTGTTAATGAAAAAAGTGATAAAGCGGGTTTCGTCTCATTTTCCGGAAAGCCAGTCATACTATTCCACTTTAGCTAAGCTAATGATGAAACGGGATCTGGATTTGTCTGCAGATGATGATGTCCACTACTGGCTTGATGCGCTTAACAAAAGGGAACGAAGTCTCTAGATTAATTAATAAAGAATTTCCTTCGTCATTAAGCAGCATCCTTTAAGTGAGTAGGGGTGCTCCAGACCGCCGACGAATAATAGGTACCCCCACACCCCAGGCAGAGTTAGTGAGTCGTGTAATAGGAAACCATTTCGCGCGGTTCGGGGGGCACTTGAGTCAGCCGCCGGCGCCCGACTGCATCTTGACCCCTATCCAATTTTTGGGCCAATTCCCCCTTTGTACTACCAAAAAATGAGATTCTTGCCGAATTCGAGTTTGCTAGTCCAACCATTACCAAACTTATACCTATTCTGTTTAGTACTTCAGGTGCTTCTGTTGCGTATAATGTAAATCCTGTAGCGGATCAATTCCAACGAGCCTTTCAAACAAGTACTTTTTGTAATCGACTCTATATCTTCTTCAATAAACGCTGGTTCTTCGATCAAGTTTTGAATGACTTTCTAGTCAGATCGTTCCTGCGTTTCGGATATGAAGTCTCATTCGAAGCTTTAGACAAAGGTTCTATTGAGATATTGGACCCTTATGGTATATCATACACATTCCGACGATTGGCCGAGCGGATAAGTCAACTTCAAAGTGGATTTGTTGTGCGAAGAGTGCGTTATGACCCGTGGCCACCTGCCTGGTCTGGTGGGGTCCTCCGTTGTGGGTAAACGGGAAACCCGACTCTACGAACCCGAGGAAAGGCTGCACAGCAGTAGTAGGGGCGTGAAGACCGGAGCTTTTTGTAGTGCTAGCAGGAATGCAAGTGAATGAATCACATCCCCTAGCGAGTGAAGTGCTTACGCCCCTTTATATTAGAGATAGGGGCGCGCTAGCGTTATAATAATAATAGAAAGGTTAGGGGGCTGAGAAAAGCTTGTTGTCTACTTATCTTCACTGCCCCGTTCTGTAACTTCCCTTCTTTAGTCCGTCCACGAGGCTGTAAAAAGATAGAGGGGCGGCTATATAGCAGGAGTCGTTTCGGTTGTATGCCACGAGGTCCCTATGGACAAGGGGACAAGTTAATCATCGCTTTTGGGCGCAGGCAGCTCTCTACCATCCATCCCATTGCATTCCATCATCTCGTATTGTACTGTACCGTACCAGATACATCTATTGAGTGAGAGAGAGGTAGCTTCTCTATAGATATATTATTCATTTTTTCTATTGATAGGGATCCCCAGATTCCCGTCACTACGGATTGATTGTCTCTACCTAACTACATGGTAGTGGTCTAGGGAGCACAATTGCTAGAGCACGGGAGAATGAAGAGTAATGATTTCAGCAAGAGCAGCCGGACGGACTATTATAGTGAGTCCTGTGACTACTAGAGTAGAGTTGAGTTAAAAGGTATGGTATAGCATCCTTTCCGAGTGAGCCTCTGGGATCTCCTGTAAACCCCCATGATGTGGTAAAGGGAGGATATTAGGGGAAGCAGTGAGTGGAGATTCCCTTGCAGAGAGCCGGATGAGGGGAGACCTTCACGTCCGGTTCGGAGGGCGGGGATATCCCGACCCTACTATCATTATGCCTTTGCAATGTTACTTGGTTCAACTCTATTTGTGACCTTTTCTCGTATGTGGGACTCTCTATATTCTTGGGTAGATAATCGATCGTCTTTCATTTTGATAGTTAGTAGTATTTATTATAATAAGTCAATAAATAAGAATAAATAATAATAGAACTGGAGGAGCTAAAAGCCGGGATGGCTTGGTAAGAAAGCAACCTGTTATGTAGGCGCCAACTCCCATTTCTTTCTCTTCTTTCTTTTTGAAAGTCACGATAAGAATGAAAGGTAGTTCGTTGGGCCTGTATTTTGATCCCAGAGGTGCTGGTTCGACTCCAGCTCGTGAGAAGGCTTTTTTTTGTCATATCCCTTTGTCTCGCTTGTTATTATTCAGTTCCTTTGTCCTTCCATCGCGCAACTATTTGTTGAACATAGAATTCGCCCGATATAAGATTAGTACCAACTGGGATCATAAAGCGGATTGGGCTAACGGAAAGGGAGGAGTCAGTCGTTCTGCCATCGATTACAGGCAAACCTTCCCCGAGCTACAGCCCTCGCTGTCGATTCAAGACACAAACAACTACCTGTACCACAACCACTGGCATATGCGGTATGCGGGTGTCAGGTCTAGGTCTAGATGGAGGTTCTCGTTCCAGTTCTATTTCTAGTTGAAAATAACAAATTCAAATTTAACCACCAAGTGGATATCTCGAGAACTAAAGGTGTCAAGCCTCTAATTCGACTTGAAATGAGGATAAGGCTTCAAGCTAGATATGTATGATTCACCTGGTACCTGGTATTGGTAGTAGCATCAGTCTCTTTCCCCTCCCTCTGTATGAGTTGAGAGGCTGAGGGGAAGTCTACTAACTATAGGGCTACTCCACCTGACTCACGGTCGCTCCACGGGAAAACACCACTAGGAGACGAAGCAAGCCGAGGGTTTCGAGGCAGATATCGCCATGACAAGGTAGTAGGGAAACCGGTCCTTGTAAGTAGCACTAGAGAGGGGATAGAGACTCGAGACTTCAAACTAATGTCCTTCTTCCTCTGAGCCAGGTTCCTTGTAGAGTCTATCTACTAGAGACATTAACAGTGCTCACCCGGGGTTGGGAAAATTAAATACTCGAATGGAACGTCCTCCATCATAAAGTTCGGCGGACACGGAAGAGCTAGTTCATAGGGCTCGTACAGTCATGGGACCGACGGTTAAAAGCTCGGGATGATGATGGGGCTAGCAACAGGTCCTCAAAGAAGCTAGATCTCTTGGGCGCTTTGTTTCCCTTGTAGCCAAGTCATACTCATTCCGTACGACGAAGGATTGGGCCTTCGAGGTCGGAACTCATCACATTACTGGGTAGATCAGTTGGGGGATAAGGGTTTTAGTTCAATAAAGGTGCTTCTCATTATATTGAATAATAAGTTAGGCCTGTAGTGCTCTGGGATTCTAACCCGTTCCCTGGTAGTAGAGAGAGAGATCCGCATAAGCCGTGCTGGGGAATACCATATAAGTAACTCGAAACTGGTAACTATAGCCCGCTCGCCTTTCGCTACTCTAAGTCAGCATGTCCCTTCTTTGGCAAAGGCTACTCGCTCGCGGTATACTTTGCTAGATTGATTGCTGGCTCTAAGCCTACCTCCTTGACTACATCCTGATAATCGCCTGCCTGTCTTGACAGAAGAAGCAGTGCAGTAAGCGTCTCCGGACATAGAAAGTAGGCAATCACTTGAACTTCGTTAGCGGTGTAGGTTTCAGCCGTAGTTTCTGGTATCGACACAGACAGTGGGAAATCTCTATACGATTGAAGTCAGTGTGCGCAAGACAAAGTCTAGTTTTTACTTTGAGTTCCTCTTATAATAAAATAACATATAAGAAGCATTCCACGGTCGTAGGTACTCAATTCAATTGGATTGAACTGCTTGAGCAGGAGCTTTGGACTCGACGAGGTCTTGGGTGCTTGCCCTATTGAGAGTCTCTTCCATTCTCTCTTCACCAGACAGATAGACAAATAGGCAATCCAATAGAGAGATTATGGCTTCCTCACTATCAGCAAGCTCCCACAGGCGATGAACTACTTCCGACTTATTCGGTTTGTAGCCATACCGTATAGAGTGCAAAATACCTTTGTTTGGGAGTAGCTAGATTAAAGCAAGATAGCTGCGGATTCTGTTCATAGAGAGCCCCATTCCTCACTCACAAGCTCTTTCTCAGCCCCTGGTTGAACCTAACGAGTGCATTCAGTTTAATGTCCAAAATCAGTTGAAATTGAAAGGACGTACAATCGGCGAGAAATGAAGTTCCTTTACTTAGGGCTTAAAGCCCTTCTTGCCCTAAGTCTAATCCCTAATCATGCGCAACACATGGACTTTAAGTCCTGCTTTCAGGATTTGATTCTCTTTTGAGACAGCTTTCAATAGAACATAGAGCTCTGCCCTTCTGGCTGTCCTAACGAGTTCACTGCCTTACTTAAACGGAACAGTTAATCGTAGAGCAGGAGGAATTCTTTCTTTCTGTCCGCTAGTCAGGAATGGAATCGGACGCTACGAATACGAATTATTGGGGGAATTTTTGATATTAGACAAATAGGGCACTAGAACGTTATTCTTCCTCGTTCCCCGCTTAGGCCTTAGGGGCTTAGCTTAGGACATTAGCAGTAAGACTTCCGCAAGGTAGTAAAAGAAGGAGCAGCAGTGGAAATCACAGTATTTATATCAAAATAATTGGCATGCTAGGCCCCCTCTCTAAGAGAAAATAGGGTAGGCAGGCTACTTGAATGGACATCTGAGATGGCATCAAGCCGAGCACAAAACTGATATGGGTTGCTAGTAAGGAGGGTTGTGAAGCCTTCTAGCATAAGTGATGCCTTCCCAAGGTACTGGAATTGGGGAAAGCTCAAGTTATGAAATAGCTTAGCCATTAATTAAGTAGTAGTGAGGCGTCGGTACGGAGCCTTCCACTGTGGACCGATACTACGCAAAGGTAGAACACCATAGAAACTTCACTGACTTTATAATAAACAACCTTGATTTCGCTACGCTCAATAAGAACCCGGAATAGCAGAAATCGGTTCGTGTTCCGCTTCCAAACAAAGTCAGTCGTCTTTGCCCAAGTGTGAACTGCGGACGACTCTCCAGTGGTTCCATTCCTTCTTACTTGACTTCTGGGTCAACCCAACCCGAATGGGAAGAAGAGGGTCAGCCAAACAGCGGTCCACTTTGTACATTTGCTGAGGCAGACCAATCGGGCATTTGAGAAAAGGGAAGGTAATTTTTATCACCGAAGGAGGCAAGGCAGTAGAAATTAAGGAGGCGGGAAGCTACCGCTTCTAGAATGCAAGCTTATCCTTTACTTTTTTTAGAGCGTACCGCTATTGAAAAAAAGGTTTATGGATGGAGTGACAAATGATTACGGTTGCGGAAACCGGATAAAGTCGGGAACCGTCGGTTACCTTTTGAATCAAAGTAGTGCCGAGTACTTTGACTACAGGGGGGAGGGAAGCTTCGCGTCCTCGCCGCTTCTTTCTGGCGACTAGCTTATCAAGTGGGTGGCTTGGTAAGCAAGCGACCTTCAGCATCGGTAAAATCCCTATAAATAATAGGCCGGAATAATGGGGAAGGAGGCCCCCCCTACTTAAATGGAAAAGGGGAGAATCGCCGTTTCACAGCCGCTCCTCTACAACTAACTACCTTTCGCCCAACATGATCACGAACGAAGACAGAGAATTGCGTAGATAGAAGGACGAAACCAACCCACTTATCCTGATCGGAATGATTGAAGAAAGAAAGATAATGGTGGCCCCTTTCGCCCAGGGGGCATCGTCAGAGAACTATGTCGGGGACAGGGGGTGAGAACCTTCCGTTGGTTACGCCCTTTAAGTGTTGGTTCTTTCTTAGATATGGAGATAGATCCAGAAAGATATATTGAGAAATGGATATTATTGATCTGGTTTCAAGATCTATGAACAAGAGAGATCCCTAAATATCCATTTGAGAAAAGAGATGAATAGATAGGGCAGAGCCAGCTGAAGGAAGGGCGCTTACGCGCCCCTGCAATCTTTACTAAAGCAAGAAGCAAGAAAGTTTACTTTGAGAAAGAAGCTCCTTAGCACAAGCACTAAGTAAGAAACCTACCTTTTGACAACCTTACTAATAGAAAGGGGAAAGCTCAAGCATGCGAAGAAAGCTCGAAGAGCTTCCCTTATATATATTATAGAAAGGGGCTTCTTTAAATATCCCAACCATCGAGAAAGTAGGGGCTTCAAAGCTAGCTTGTAGTTTTGGGGTGCGAAGGGAACCCTATACAAGAGGCTAGCGTGCAATGGCCTTCTGGGGGCTCGCTTCAAAAAGCAGAGCTTGTTGTCTACTAAACGAGCCTCCACTGCCCGCCCGGCCCCTATCTTTAATCTTAAGTCAAGTGAAGTCAAATCAATGAAGTGAACAGCCCAACCTCTTTGTTTGAAGCTTTGCTTCCCCTAATTCCAAAAAACAAGAAATAGACTTGCTACTACTATAGTTATAGTATAGGAAAAAGCTTCTCTTTGATAGCGGTCATAGGGGGGTTCAGAAATAATCTGATCATAGATAGAGACTAAAACCAATGCGGGGGTAGGGGCGGATGTAGCCAAGTGGATCAAGGCAGTGGATTGTGAATCCACCACGCGCGGGTTCAATCCCCATCGTTCGCCCATCAATCTGGAGCGGGTGGCAACATGCAAAATACCCGAGACCGGATTCGGGCT